TTCATGAGGACAGCTATGTACTAAAAGAGCTTTGCTTCAGAGTTCTCACTTATCTTTACTTAAATTAGTAGTTGAAGGCTAAAATGAACTATATCCACAAATAAAAACGGAAAATTCCCAAGATAAAGTTAGCTAGATAAACAGCTTTGGAGGACTAATTAGGGGATTTTACTTCATGTTGTGGTCCCTACACTGAAAAACATAAAGAATAACACCTATCTGAAGTATGCTCAAAAGCTTGGTGTTTGTGGACTACAAATAAAACCCTAAACTTCCTGCTAACTGAATGGACTCCTCTCGGCCAACAGGACCCCAGAAAAAAAGTCTTAAAACTGAGTTCGAGCCAGGATGGGATGGGAGCTATAAAGCACAACTATACATGAGCGCTTTCTATTCGTAAATATTCATTACTCCTCCTATAGCTTGTTAAATATGTGTGTCTGGCCACCACAGCCTTCCCCCACCCCCTCCTTTAAAAGCAAGAGTAAGCTTTCAGGAGAAATGGAATGAAGAGACAAGATTTATTCTTTTAGAAAGATCCACAGAATTGTGGGATAGAACCAAAGTAAAAGCCAGAGACCACTTAAGAGGCCATGTCAGTAATCCAGGCAAGAAATGGTGGTGGCTTGGACTAGAGAAGTGGTATCAGAAATGGAGAGAATAATCAAAAAAATCATTATATATTTTGGACGTAGAACCACTAGAACTTTCAGACAGATTAGATGTAAGATGTGGGACGGATTTGGGGAAAGGGGGTGTTGGGGGAAATCACACACAACTCCCAGATTTCTGGCTTGAAAAAAATGAATGGATGGTGGACAGGCAGGCTTTGAAGAAGAAATCAGAAATTCCTGTTTGGAAATGTTAAGTTGGAGATGACTGTGAAACACCCACCAGTGGTTCTACCTGTGATCAAACAAAAATGTTAGCAGGTGAATGACAAGACTAACCCTGCTATTTCTTCAGGTTGTCCGCAGCCACCTCGTATCTATTAAGGTACTTGTGAAAAGTGAAAAGGGTTTGACAACTTGGTTCATACTTATTAGCACACTAAACTGGAAAATTTCACTGAATAAACTGGTTTGATGAGGGTGAACTTGGGCGTAAGTACTGGGACTCGTTTCTTGTGCATCTTTAAGAATACGAGCCTTACAAGCTGGGGATGTCGTTTCAGTGTTCTATTTCTCTTTTTTTAAATCATTAATTCTTCTGTCTCTAGACACACAACTACTAAAGCAAAAAAAAAAAAAAAGAAAAATTAAAAAAAAAAAAATTCTTCTGCTGCAGAGCACTTGAGGGAATGGGGTTAGATTTTTGAAGGAAACAAACCAAATCATAGGCTACTTGAAAACAGAACCTGTTGCTCTGAAAATCTTACAGTGCAAGAACCACTTTCTCCTACTTTTCTTTTGTGGTGTAGCCATTCTCTCTGCAGCTATGTGAAGACTCTTAACAGTGTTCATCTGGGACATTTTCCAAGATTCTCCTGTAAAGTCTTACAGGAGAATCTTGCTATAAAGTTAAATTGTGTGAAACTAAAAATGAGTTTTCTATGTGCAAGGGAGGCTAGAAATATCCCAGACATAACAAAAGCAAAACGAACACAATCTGTTTCCCAACTTTAAGATAATTTCAATTCCAGGAGGAATTTAAAAGATTGGAGTTTAAAAAGTCAAATCACTTATCTGACTTAAGTCAGATCACTTATCGTAAGTCTAGTGTATTAATGGCCACATGTGCACAACTGATCAAAGTATTGCGGCTATTTTTATAACCCACTGGTAGTTACTACATCAACTAAGGCAACACAAATGATAGCCAAGCTCTGACCATTATGTTCATAGAGATACGGTGATTGTATTTTTTCTTAACTTCTCACCTTAGAGTTGGTTTTAATTTCAAGAGTTGTGCATCCAAGACTTTAATATTTCTCTACAATTCCCACTGTGAAGAACCACTAGCTACTTTGATATTTCACTCCTGCAAAAGGAAATGTGCTTTACTCTCCTGGCATCAAAAAGGGCATGATATTTGTGAGTAGCAAAGGCCAAACGGGGAAAAAAGAAAGGGCATGATATATGACTACCTCTCCAGCCTCGTCTCCGGCTATCTCCACGTCACACCTGACACACTAACAATGTATGTAGACACTCTCCCCCGGAGGACTTGCTTCTTAGGAACAAAATACAGAAAAAGTGATTCAGTTACAAACAACTGTGACTTCGATCCTGCAGGCACTCTCCCTCGCCCTCCTACCTGCTCACTCTGATGAAGCAAGCTGTCATGCTGGAAGATGCTCCATGGAAAGGCCTCCATGGCAAGAAACAAGGATGAACTGATGATTCAGTCCAACCACCCGTGAGGAACTGAATCCTGTCACCATGTGTGCGAGTCGGGAAGCAGATCCTTCCTTGACAGGCTTTGAGATGACCGCAGCCTTGTGAGTGACCCTGAGCCAGAAGTCCCAGCTAAGCCACCCCAGGCTTTCTGGCCCACAAAGCTGAGATAATAAATGTGTGCTGCTTTAAGCCACTATGTTTTGGGGTAATTTGTTATGCAGCAATAGATAAAACTCAGCCAGCAGGGTGGTTATGAGGATAAAATGAGGCAATGTAATAAGCATTTAGCAAAATGCCTGACATCACTGTAGGCACTGCACATTAGTTCTATTTTCCTTCTCCTGTCTAGTTCCACTGCCACCACTACAGCCCAGCACTTCAGGTCTAGATTCCTGCAACAGCTTTACAACTAGTTTCCTTGCTTCCCACAGTCCAGCTGGTTATCCTCTTTAAAAAACAAACAGCTCCCTATTCTTTAAAGTATAAAGACTAAATTGACATTCAAGGCCCTCCAGGCTGGCTGTCCACACCTCACCTATATTTCCAAGTTTATTTCCTTTAACACTCTCACACCTCACTACCACTCTACTAAGATTAATCGATTCACTATATCCCAATTATACTTGGTATATTCACACCCTACTGACCTCACTAATGAAATTTTACCCTTTCAGTACTCATTCCCTCTTTTCTCCTGAATTCCAAACCACCACTCTCCCTATGTCATCACTTTAAGTACCATTCAGGACTTACCTCCTCCCCTGAGCTTTTTCCTTCTTTAAATTAACATTTATTCATTTGGTATTTAAAATCATCTAGATATAAAACAGGTAAAAGTAACTTCAGAAAGCATCTGGTCCAAGGATTCAGTTTACATGTAAAGAAAACTGAAGCCCAGAGATGAACGTGATTCAAACTAAATCGTAACAGCACCAGGACTAGAAGTCAAGCCTCAAAACCTCCAGGTTATTCAATTCTAAAAATATTTATTAATAAGTGTCCATATGTATGTAAGGCACTATAAAATTTCAACAGTTTCTACCAATATGCCACTCATTTATTCAACAAAAAATCATTAAGTACTATTTATCAGATACTTGACTTAGAATAAAAACTTTGCCCATAAGGAATTCAGGGTAATGAAAAAAAAGGCCAAACAGGTAAAGCAACAATTACAATATAGCTTGATATGATCTGTGATAGCAGGCTCTCGAGACTTAGAAGAAAATCACCTACACATCTTTGGTCCTTCCAGTCATTCACTCATCTACTCACTCACTCACTCATTCATTCACTAGACAGGGGGGAGGAAGAAGCAGAGAGACAAGAGAAAATTTTTACTTTTCTAAAGAGCAAGTAGGAACAAAATTTCTCTTGAAGCAACTCATGAACAACAAACACCTGGAGTGTTAATGTTACTATGAAAAGTAATGTTTTTCTAATTGATAAAAGATCTTCAGAATTCTGCACTTTTTGAAAATCTGGAAATATACATACATTGTCCCTTTTTTAGAGTCTGCTTTGGAGTCAGAAAGACCCTGAGTATTAAACATTCAGTTTGCAATTTATTTGCTGAGTGATCTAAGTTGCTTAAACTAGATCAACTTTAAGAGAATATCTACCTTGCATAGTATCTGTGAGAATTAAAACAAAGTGTCTTAACAAACAATATCTATCCTGTCTTTCAAGTAATCAATACAAAATAGTCTATCTAGATAACATAAAAATTATGTTTGATAACTAAAATACATTCAAATTTGTGTGGGCATGCATTACTGCCAAAATTTATAACAAATTTCCCCAGTTACTAACTCTCCAAAATAAAAGTCTACTCCTTTGAAATTTTTCTAGAACAGTAATCACTGGATAAGTCATTCTACTATTTTCAGGCAACAAGAATTCTGAGAATTCATTGTATTATCAGTTGCTATGTGGAGAGAAAATTAAAACCCTGTATTTAAGAAAGTTAGAATACAAATCAGAACACAAGGGAATAGTTCTTTGTGCAAAGCAAGCAAATACATTCTTGTGGATTTAGTCATCCCAGAGACGAATGCCAAGGATATAGTTCATCTTACATAGGGAAGCTGAATGATCAGAACAAAATGGGATCAATTAGGAAAAACTATATACAGGAAATGCTTTACAAAGTAGTAGATTCTTTTTATGTTGGACTTCTTTAACAGGGTTTTAAAACATGTTATTCTACAGTCTTCTGAGTTAAAATTATTCAGGTATATATAAGGTCCAGAAATCCAAAAAAATATACATAACAAATAATTTACTGATATTCCATGTTTACTGTATTGCTCCTCACTAGCAATTCATAGTTCAATAAGCTGTGAAAAATTGGAATGAACAACGTGCTCTATAACAGCATTTCCATCAATCTTTGTACATGCATCTACAATGCATTGCCTCAGATGATTTGTATGTCTAATTTTCATTGAATAAATTTGTGCCTTTAGCATATCGAAGAAGAAGTAATCAAGGAAGTTCAAGCTATTAAAAAATATATATTGTCTCCAGACTTTGTGGTCACTTGAATTTTATTTTTTACATGATTTACCTACTCCAAGTTATATGAAACATTTTTACCATTTATATTATACCAAAAAAATTCTAAAAATAAGATAATAGAGAAAACAACCAAAATAAGATTTATTTTGCTTTCAAGTAATTCTACATCAAAATATTTCACAAAAACAAAGTGACTTTTAATCTAGAGATAAGAGACTTTCTAAATGACATGCAAGATATATTACGAGTTTTGTTTATAAGATTTAACAGGTCTTACAATGATTTCAATAAATCAGGCACTCCAGAACACAATGTGGAGGAGCAACAATCATGTGGTAACTGCTTAATATTCCAAAGGAATAAAGATCTTTTTCAAATATGGAAAGAAATTAGTCTTTCTACAATGTTAATCCCTAAGAGCTATTCTCCTTTATAAACTACTATATTATTGTCAGTTTCGTACACTTTTACTTTATAAAGAACTCCCATAGGAAGAACTTTCTGGAGGTTTTCCCAGATATATACAGCTACATTTTCAGTTGTGCTGTAGAAAAAAAAAGAAAGAAAAAAGTTTCAAAATGCAAATAATAAACAAAATTTCATATATAATATTTAGAACAGAAATTCTAAATATTAGTTTTGAAAGATATCATTAAACTAAAACTTTAGAAATTACACAGCAATTAGATAAAGTAATGAGTTCAAACCAATTCTTGTTTCTTACTATCTATATAGGATTAGATAGTAACACCCACCTTACAACATCTGCAAAGTATGGCACATCCAAATCCAGATTCTTATGATCAAGGGGCTTCATAATTGCCTCCTAGAGACAAAACAAAGGAAAAAAATAATTGATTCCATTTGTGATTCAAATTCCAAATTTTTCCACCTATGCCTCTAAACCTTACCCTACCATTTAGCTACTAACTCAATGCTTCTGAGTACTAGACCTGCATCTTACAAAAGTTTAAAGTTGTAAGGCCCAGCTCTTTGTAATAATCAGGTATCCTTCTCACTGCAAAGTGGTGAAAAACTGAAAAAGTAGAGGAGAACTCCTGGAGTTTTCTCATAACACAAGCCATTGTGGTTCAGAATTCAGTTTAACACTTCTAGAATTCTGTGCAAAAAGACACCAAAAATATTTTTTCCATAACACAGTCACACCTATGGAATAATGCCACAGTAGCATTAGAACAAAGACCCAGTAAGCATTACATTTTATAAAGCAGACCTAGAATGAAATTATATAAGTAGTTCTAAATTTCTGCTATGAGGAGTAATTTAAGAATGATTTTGGGCTCCTAGGAGAAAAAATATAAATATGTAAAGACCATTACTCCCTAATGCTTATATATATTAACATAATGTTTTTCCTTATCATTAGCAAAGATTGAATTGCCTTATTCTAAGTTTTCACTTTTAGCTATTATAAAAAAATCTAAGTATCTAAGCATATGGAAAATCTAATTTTCCATATGGTGTGATTTCAAGAAGGGTACATTAATAACAATAATAGAGATCATTTCTTGAGTAAAACTAGAATCATATAAAAATGTTAAGTCTTAGATCAATAGCTGTTAAGATAGACCGAATGAAGGATGTCCACTGGATGAAACGACATTTATATAAAATCTTGCTTATCTTGTCTTTCCAATCTTTTTTATTATATATAGAGACAGTCTCGCTTTGTTGCACCAGGCTAGAGTGAAGACTGTTGCTATCCTGCTAATCAACGGACAATACCTCATAGTCTGGACTCAAGTGACGTCTCTAGACTGCTTGCATCGCGAAGAGTACTCTGGTCTCAACTTGGCACAGCAGCAAACTCCCTTATCAGACCAGAACATCAGAACGTGGTCCCAGGAGCTCAGAGGGTAGTCATCGCTATTGTTTCATACATATTAAAGCCTTTTCAGTTTGAGACCAATGTGTTACATGTGGTTTTTTAGAACTCATGTAAGCCACATGGCGCTGTTTGAGGCTCTCAGCTCTACTCTTTGGTTGTACGAGAAGTTCTCACCCCTCCGCCGATAACACCAAGAAAAGAAGACAGCCTGTATTATTCTCTGTATCCTCTCCGTTTGCTACTAATCTATGTTATGATGTAATGAGAACCCATTCAGCTTCCCAGAGTCTTTTTTATTTTTATTTTGATATGTGATCTTGCTTTTGTTGCATTCTCCTATAGTGACATGCCGTGCGCGCCTCAGCTAACGCTCACACAACCTCCAAACTCCTGGGCTCAAGCGCTAACATCGAATTCTCCATCATAAGCCTTTATCACGAGTAAACTGAGGTATGTCTATCTAGGTTCACATTGTTTCGCATCCCACTCAGTTGTCTAAAACAGTAGTTTCGGGCTAAGCTATTTATTAGTTTTATAAGGTATAATGTCCAACAAATTATGGCCTAATCGTTAAAATAAATTCTACATTTGCTAATTTAATATACAGAGACGGGTTATGTAATTCACTCTTTGCTCAGAGCTGGTATTTTATAGGAATGCCAACTAAGGTTGACTGTTCTAAATTCCTAGATCTTGACATACATCGCCCTGCGCGCTTTCTGCCTAAATACTGACAATCTTTTTCCTGTTCTCTAGATCTTGGACCTTTCTAGCGAAGGACAGCTGGGATCTACTATTCACGACGACCCGCGGTACTGAGCCTCATCCTCCCTCGGCATGCTCTCTCTGCTTGAAATGTCAGTCTATGCCCCCGAAGACCGAGGACATACTCCCGCCTATCTTATGATCTCTCACATGTTCAGTCTCAATTCCTACGCATGCGTAGAGCCTAATTTTCTGCAAGGGCTTGCTTGCTGATCGAATCGCCGACTTCCTAGAACAAGGAGGAACTGATATAAGACTGAGATCAACACGACTAGAGAAATGCTAAACGCAGAAGGTTAATCTTTACGTTGATTTCATCTCCTATATACGCAGCATTGATGTTTTCACGAAGTGAGGAAATATCGGCATGATCCACGTGTAGATAGTAAACCATGTGCGACAGAAGGTGTATCCATCACAATCAGCTGAGCAAGCAGAGGAGCAACAAATTGTATAATTGACAGATAAACACCCCAATGCGGGATCCTGTGTAGATGGAGTAATGAGCCCGGTTTATCTTCCCTTTCGTTGTGTTGACAAGATAGAGCACACTTTCTAATGGTCATGGGATGTGTAAGCATTTGATGGCACTGGTCTTACTGTGCTTAGATACAACTTTTGCCACCTAATAATATGAAGATAGTTTACCAGCACTAGCTGCTACTTACTTACCTCTGCTTATGCTAATTGAATCCTTTTTACACAGTTACGAACATAAATACCTAGGGTTAATTCACCCCCTATTGCATTATAGAGCACTATGTACTATTCATATAGCACAACAGATGCAGCAAGAGCTCTACTTTATTCATCATATATACTGCTCTCAACGTTACAGATAAGGTTTGAAAATATAAATTTTTCCAGGCACGATACATGAAGGTGGTTCATCCCAGTATCTGCCTACCGCGCAGGAGCCTGTCAGGTGGAACAAGAGACTCTTATAATGCACGTATCTGAAGGTCAGTCGCAGTACTCATCTACGTAGACAGAAATCGTAGAAGACAAGATCTGAGAAGACAAGACCCAATAATTCTTACTAAAAATAGAAAGAAATTATCTGGACAACTAAAAATATATATAGAAAAAATTAGCCGGACATGGTGGCACATGCCTGTAGTCCCAGCTATTCAGGAGGCTGAGGCAGAAGGACTGCTTGAGCCCAGGAGTTGGAGGTTGCTGTGAGCTAGGCTGACACCACAGCACTCTAGCCCGGGCAACATAGAGAGACTGTGTCTCAAAAAAAAAAAAAACGTTGTCCTGTGGCTAGTTTACATTGGAACTAAATAGATTTGTTCCGAGATGCCTGGGGATTTCCTCTGGTAACAAGGTACGTTTCCAACAAATGAGTCGTCTGTCACCAAGAGCCAGGCTCAGTCCATGGCACCTCACGGTGTGCCCCTAGCAGCCGCGGGAAGGGCAAGGGGAAGCCACTGAAAGAGGGGCGCTTCTGCTTTCCTGGAGGCCCCAAGGAAGGGCTGGCCCAGGGGACATCTCAAGGCTGGGAGGCTCCAGCCAGGATGGCGATGGCTGCCTTCACGTGAGGAGAGGATAATAATTACTTTAGGCTGGGCCATGAACATGCTGTGTATGCAAAGACCATGTTTAACCTGGAACCCAACTGACAGGACTCCCCAGCAGGTGCTGGGCAGAGTCTCCCAGGAGCTCACAGAAGTGTGTGTGTGTGTGGGGGGGGCTGACAATAGGCCTGCAGATTCCCAGGCTCAGCAGCAGGGAACTGCTGTCTCTCAGTAGCAGCACTTCCGATGTAGTGTGAAAAGAGATGAGAGCCTATTTCCGGCAGCAACTGGCCAAGAAGGACCTATCAGCAACAGTAACTTGCACACTCACAGTTTTGGTGGCTAAGGATGGACAGAAGCTTAGGTAGAAGCAAAACAGCTTGGAAAAGCGACACTTGAGTGCACCTTTTCCAGAGCTGGTTAGCGTCTAGTGTGAACAGCAATGCTTGGTGTGTTTTACAAACTTGGACTACAATAGCGATCACTGTTGCTGGCTGCTGCATAAACCATTAGCCACAGAAGGGAACAGTTGGTATCTTTGAGAGTATTTTCCAAACATGTCCTCCAAACAACACAGGCTACAGGGGCTGAGCCATCCTGGTGGCAGGGGAGCCAGCAATGCAAGAGTTCTGCCTACTCCTGTTTGCTGCAATGGCTGCATTTTGCATCTGCTTAAAAAGAGATTCAGCTTTGGGGTTTTAAATGGTCACAGACCTACTTCTTCACATATCGTGCCTTAAGAAACACACCTGAGCACTTCTGGAAGCCCCCGACCATCTGAGAAGGGCTCAGCTGTCCTGTCTTCCCCGAGGAGACATGACAGGACTCAGTGCTTCTCCCAGGGGCCCGAGAAAAATGAAACACTTCACTACTAGCCCTGCAGCGACCAGGGATGTCCCAGTGCCATTTGCAGGGCTCTAACTTCACTTCATATGTCATGAAGAGCCAATTTTACTAATGGGTATGTGTGGTGTCCTTCAGGTATACAAAAGTAGAAAAAAAGCACAGAGAACCCCTCTTCTAATATTTAGTCATATGTTTGCTTGAGATCTTTTACATTGTTGTCTGATATTGTACAACACTTTGAGTATATATAATTTATGTCTGCAGTAAATGCAAGAACTCTGTCTTTATAACGTTCCTAAAGCATTTGAGTACAATGCTATTTGTTCTTTCATTCATTTTCCTATTCAGTTATTCAATCAACAGTTATTGAGCAATTCCTATTTTTTACCTCCTAGAAAAAGTAATCTACATACTCTGTGGGCTATGTCTCATTCCACTTTGTTTTCCTGGTACTTAGCTCAAAACTGATATAAAGTAGACAAATGTATTGAATATACAGATAATAAGTAATGTGAAAGAAGTAAAGATTACTAATACCATTTTAATGAAACGAATGTCAAATTTTAGAACAATAGTAAGTTGCAGAGCTGAAGTGAAGAACAGATGAAATGACGGCATAATACAAACAGCTGGATGGAAAGATATCTACTACCAACTTTGCAAATGACTAACCACATGACCCTGGTCAAGTTAGTTAATTGTTCAGCATCTCTCAATCTTCATCTATGCAATGAATAAATTGGTTTGGATAATCTCTAAGGTCCCTTACAATGCAAGAATTCTACAATGATGCAATCCTAAATTCTTTATTGAACACCTTCTTGTGTGTTATCTCTATGATGTACTACCCCAGTGAATTTATAATACAGCCACCTTTTACAAGGTGGTGGTAAAATCTATGATCAAAGGTACAAGGAATATTCAGAGAAAGAACAGAAAGCTTCAAGGAGAAAGCTGTGTCTTGAAAGAAGGGTAGAATTTGTTAAATGAAGGAAAGCAGGATATTCCAACAAGGAGTACAAGGTGAGCATGTTTTATTTCTTCTCATCACTGTAACACACTGTGACTAATTTCCATTAAGTCACCTGAACACCTTTAGAAGGCCATGAGAATAGTTCTTCCAATTACTCCCCCCACACCCACACCCAATGCTATTCCTGAGTCATGGAACCTTAGGAGAAACCCGGGTGAGGAGGTGAAAAGGGGGGAGAGGCACTAAATATTACTAATATATTTAGGGGACAGCAGATAATAAGCACACAACATGCCATTACCTCCATATATTTTTTGAGGTCGGTCAAATTCATAATCATTCCTGTAACAGGATCAATCTAAAGAATAAACAAAGGTGAATATTACTCTAACAGCCTTTCCATATTTAAACCACTGGCAAATTAGTAAAGGCTGTTTAATGTGCAGAAATTGTGCCTACGTTTGCTTCATCCCAGAGATAATCATTGATCTCAGCACAACGCACTATGTACTTTAAGCATCCTTTTCATTGTACAGCTCTTCTTTAAGGTCCACATACAGCACATTAAAGACAACACTTGGGGAGAGGGGAAGCCTGGAATGGTAGCTGCTCACCACACACACAAAAGCCAACAGTGAGGCAATACTGATTGGAACAGAAGTTTGCAATACAGAATCTGCCACAATTGGCTGAAAAAGGAAAATTGCACAAACCACACAAATATTTTAAGCACATACCTCTCCAAGCACTGTCACCACAACTATGGGAAAGAAAACAAAACACCAAAGAAACAGCATGACATTCAACAGATTAACATCCAAGGACAAGTTAGCAACATAAATTATTAGCTCTCTAGGTTTTAAATGGTCACAGACCTACTTCTTCACATATCGTGCCTTAAGAAACACACCTGAGCACTTCTGGAAGCCCCCGACCATCTGAGAAGGGCTCAGCTGTCCTGTCTTCCCCGAGGAGACATGACAGGACTCAGTGCTTCTCCCAGGGGCCCGAGAAAAATGAAACACTTCACTACTAGCCCTGCAGCGACCAGGGATGTCCCAGTGCCATTTGCAGGGCTCTAACTTCACTTTATATGTCATGAAGAGCCAATTTTACTAATGGGTATGTGTGGTGTCCTTCAGGTATACAAAAGTAGAAAAAAAGCACAGAGAACCCCTCTTCTAATATTTAGTCATATGTTTGCTTGAGATCTTTTACATTGTTGTCTGATATTGTACAACACTTTGAGTATATATAATTTATGTCTGCAGTAAATGCAAGAACTCTGTCTTTATAACGTTCCTAAAGCATTTGAGTACAATGCTATTTGTTCTTTCATTCATTTTCCTATTCAGTTATTCAATCAACAGTTATTGAGCAATTCCTATTTTTTACCTCCTAGAAAAAGTAATCTACATACTCTGTGGGCTATGTCTCATTCCACTTTGTTTTCCTGGTACTTAGCTCAAAACTGATATAAAGTAGACAAATGTATTGAATATACAGATAATAAGTAATGTGAAAGAAGTAAAGATTACTAATACCATTTTAATGAAACGAATGTCAAATTTTAGAACAATAGTAAGTTGCAGAGCTGAAGTGAAGAACAGATGAAATGACGGCATAATACAAACAGCTGGATGGAAAGATATCTACTACCAACTTTGCAAATGACTAACCACATGACCCTGGTCAAGTTAGTTAATTGTTCAGCATCTCTCAATCTTCATCTATGCAATGAATAAATTGGTTTGGATAATCTCTAAGGTCCCTTACAATGCAAGAATTCTACAATGATGCAATCCTAAATTCTTTATTGAACACCTTCTTGTGTGTTATCTCTATGATGTACTGCCCCAGTGAATTTATAATACAGCCACCTTTTACAAGGTGGTGGTAAAATCTATGATCAAAGGTACAAGGAATATTCAGAGAAAGAACAGAAAGCTTCAAGGAGAAAGCTGTGTCTTGAAAGAAGGGTAGAATTTGTTAAATGAAGGAAAGCAGGATATTCCAACAAGGAGTACAAGGTGAGCATGTTTTATTTCTTCTCATCACTGTAACGCACTGTGACTAATTTCCATTAAGTCACCTGAACACCTTCAGAAGGCCATGAGAATAGTTCTTCCAATTACTCCCCCCACGCCCACACCCAATACTACTCCCGAGTCATGGAACCTTAGGAGAAACCCGGGTGAGGAGGGGAAAAGGGGGGAGGGGCACTAAATATTACTAATATATTTAGGGGACAGCAGACAATAAGCACACAACATGCCATTACCTCCATATATTTTTTGAGGTCGGTCAAATTCATAATCATTCCTGTAACAGGATCAATCTAAAGAATAAACAAAGGTGAATATTACTCTAACAGCCTTTCCATATTTAAACCACTGGCAAATTAGTAAAGGCTGTTTAATGTGCAGAAATTGTGCCTACGTTTGCTTCATCCCAGAGATAATCACTGATCTCAGCACAACGCACCATGTACTTCAAGCATCCTTTTCATTGTACAGCTCTTCTTTAAAGTCCACATACAGCACATTAAAGACAACACTTGGGGAGAGGAGAAGCCTGGAATGGTAGCTGCTCACCACACACACAAAAGCCAACAGTGAGGCAATACTGATTGGAACAGAAGTTTGCAATACAGAATCTGCCACAATTGGCTGAAAAAGGAAAATTTGCACAAATCACACAAATATTTTAAGCACATACCTCTCCAAGCACTGTCACCACAACTATGGGAAAGAAAACAAAACACCAAAGAAACAGCATGACATTCAACAGATTAACATCCAAGGACAAGTTAGCAACATAAATTATTAGCTCTCTATCTCCCAAAGCTATGTGTATGTTTTCCCCAAAACACATTCTTTTAGCTAAGATCTTTGTCAACAAAAGCAAGACTTAACCAAGACAAAGGAGCATAGTAGGAGCTTTGGCTAAGCAGAGGAACTTAGCCAAGGACAAAAGGAGTATCAATTCTGCTTATGCTAGGGAGGATCAAGATGCTGTTCAATCTGTATAAAAGTAGAAAATGCACATGCAGATGTCAAGCTGCACACCAAGCTAGTCCAATATTGGGCAGTGCCCTTCTGGGCAAGCAAAACTGCCACTGGGCCTTAAACTCTTATACCTTTACTCACATGAGTGTATATACAGCTTACAGTAATGCTTTGCAAATTAACAAACGCTTATATGAAGCACTTGAAAAACCTTGATGATCAGTGCTTCACAAATAACTTTTATAAATGTACATATTTTTTAGTTCCAAATATCATTAGGTATTACATGATAAGTGAGTACACTGTGATTGAGGTATCAAACATCAAGTAAGAGGCAGTAACTAAACTAGAAATCCTAATCTTCTGACACCTTGTCTGATCTTTTTTACACCATGATGCCACATGCTTATTATGTAGCTGCTTTTTGAGGCTCTCACCTTTATAATTGTGCCCATGGCCATTTGGATTGTTGCATTTCCCAAACAGTTTCAAGTTTTCTTCATCACCCAGAGATTTACTGACCAAAAAAAAAAAAAATCATCATGACACAAGTATCACACTCAAAACTCTTTCTCTGTTACCTCATTTATTATTTGCTCTGGTCTTTTCACAATTTATTTTTACTTTAGCTTACCAAATGGGGAGTTATAAATCACCTCGATTTCATTACAAAGCAATATATCAGAAACCAGTGTATGCTCCCTAATTAGACTACTGTACCATACAAATTAGCATATACAAAACTTTCATTCAACAAGATTCCAACAACTGGTCTGCTAATGGTCCTTCCATTTTTCAATTCATCAAACATTTACTGAATGCCTACAAAGTATTAGGCAGGCACTGAATGAAGCAAGAGCATATAATAATAAACACAAAAACATGCTTGTCCTCAAATGGCATAAAATCTCATTCCTCTCAGAAGCTAAACTACTCATCCAGAAAAA